AGAAAATAATAACTATAACTATTGTTATAGAATCGCAACTTAAATGAATCTGATCTCAGAGATCAACTAATGCCTTCATTTACAGTGATGAAACAGACCTTAGACAGAGGTAAAATAAATTGCCCAAAGACACAAAGCTGCTTATTAGTCAGTTTATATCTATGGCTGGACTCTGAACTCAGAAGATGGAACTCTGTCTCCTGATTTCTAATTTGAAGCTTGTTTCTGATGCACGGTGCTGCCCATTCTCTTTCCAAACCCTGCTCTTTTGTTCGCTTTTATCTTTAGCCTTTTAAGTTTTCCTTATCAGTTGTCTTTCCGAACCCATAATACCCCTCATTACTAACCCCGGTCACTAAAAATCTTTCCTATCTCCAGAGGGACATACACACACAGCCCGTGTGTGTGTTTGTGGGTGTTTGTGTACTCACAGGCAATGAACCTCGGGTTGATTTGATGTACAATGTCTATGATCGAAGACCCTGGCCCATTACTAGAGGATTAAGTGACAAAACATGAAAGCACATTGAAAACTGGAAAGACCTGTGCAAATATTAATCTTCTCAGTAGAACATTTTCTAAATATGAAAATTTTCTCAAAAATACATTTCTTCTGGTATCATAGAAAACCCTATCTCCCATACCTAATAATAAATCTGTATCTAATGCTGCTTTATAAATAGCTTAAAAATAACCTTTTGGGCCGGGTGCGGTGGCTCACGCCTGTAATCCTAGCACTCCGAGAAGCCAGGAGTTTGAGACCAGCCTGAGCTACAGTGAGACCTTCTGTCTATAAAAAATAGAGAAATTAGCAAGACATGGTGGTGCATGCCTGTAGTCCCAGCTATTTGGGAAGCTGAGGCAAGAAAATTGCTTGAGCCCAGGAGTTTGAGGTTGCAGTGAGCTATGATGACGCCACTGTACTTTAGCCTGGGTGACAGAGCAAGACTCTGTCTCAAAAAATAACCTCTTTAAGATTGTGAAGTTTACACTGATCATGTCCCCTTTAAAAATTCTATCACTTATTTCCCCCTACAGTGCCAAGAAATTCTTTTTGACTATTTTTGAGATAACATTTTTATAAAGCCCCAACTCCCACATTTTTAATACTGATTACAAAATCCAGTAGTAAGCAGTCTAAAAATAAAAATGGAAAACCTCCAAAATATTTCATTTTGACTTAGTCTCTCCTTTTCACATCTGAACATATAAAATCAAGCTTTTCACAAACCTATTTTGTATTATTTTATCCATTTCATAGACATACAGTACTCTGAAAGAGGGCTGGACTATCCCCTGGACTTGGGCAGTGGGCTGAAATGCTTCAACAGCTCCTGGTACTAAGTGGTTCCCACCCCACCAAAAGGGTAGCGGTGTCACTGCACCTCCCAGTTTTATGCCAGCCTCTATCATCAACTCTAAGTTACTTCCAAGACCCTGTTGGTGCCTGAGTCCCTCTCATCTTTAAGGGAGCCAATAGGGAGAAAAGGCCATATTTATGCTTATTGGCTTCACCTATGTTGTCCCAAGCTTATTAGATTGGTGAGAGGCAGGATAACGAGGCAAAAAGACCAAAGGCCTTGCAATCAGACAGGTTTAGGCTTGAACCCTAGCTCTGCCCGTCTCCGAGTGACCTTGAGTGAGTTATTTAACCTTTCTGAGTCTCGGTTTCTTTATGAGTACAATGGGGATAATAACAGTATTGCTTAATAGGGGTATTGTGAAGATAAAATGAGATAATATCTGATAAGCACCTTGTTTCGCGTCTTGCACTGGTATAGTCCTCCAAATACATGATGTCTTTTGTTATATACGTGGCTCAATGCAGATAACACTGCAGTGAAACATTTCTGACAGACATCCTTGGGAGGGGCCTTTTTACTATATTTGTAACTTTTCTTTAATGTTGAAATAATCTGGTTATTATTTCCTAATTGCATCGGAGAAGAGGTCTTTGTCTAGGTCACATGATAAAGGTCTTCTTTATATTACTAGAGTTTTCCTTATTACACTATCAGTTTGTGTGAGCACAAATTCAAGGACCCAAGACGAGGGATATCGTCTAAGGATTTTACGGCTATGAGACACCATTATCTTTTATGATGCTGCATTCATAATTGACAGGTTATGATAATTGGGCATTTTTATCAGACTAGGTAAGGGAAAAAATCAGTAGTATGGAAGTAGTATTTACTGAAATAAAAAAAAAAAACAAGACAGAATAGCAGGCATAATGATCATACCACTAAAAGGTTGGGGTTGGGAAGGAGCTGGAAAACAGGGACTCTTGCACTGGACACATGGACTATGTCCTAAATGAAACATTAAGGAACTCTGACATTTTTGCCAATAGTGAAAAATGTGAACTTCATCAATATAAGTGTATGGCCAACTTAGTAGGATTCAATTTCAAAATGCTGCTTAGAAACAGGTATGCAAGCTGGGAGCAGTGGCATGCACCTGTAATCCCAGCTAGTCAGGGGGCCAAGGCAGGGGCATTGCTTGAGGCCAGGAGTTTGAGACCAGCCTGGGCAACATAGCAAGACCTCATCTTACAAAAAAGAAAAGAGAGAAGAGAAGAGAAGAGAAGAGAGAAGAGAAGAGAAGAGAAAAGAAAGAAAAGAAAAGAAAAAAAAAAAAAAAAAAAAAAAAAAGAAACAGGTATGCAGTGTGGAGTACCTGAGACAGAAGTTTGAGGATATGAGAACATATAACAGGACCTCTGTTTAGATGAACGAGGTCCTCTGTGCTCTTTTCTGTGAGGGCCTTGCAAGCAAACAGCAATTGAAAAGGATGCCAAGAAGAACAATTAAAATGCCTGCACATTTGAGAAATCTATCCCTGTTCATATAGACTGAGGAAGGCAAAGCTGAGCAATTGAGAATGTAAGGTGATATTGTTGTGGTGATACAGCCTCTGTCTTGTGCTTTACTGAATTCAGAACACACAAGAATGGACTTTATATTGTATTATAACATGAGAGAGTTAGGTTAGATAGCAAAAGAAATGACCTATGGCAAAAGTTGAAAGGCTGAAACATTTATTCAATGGAATTTGTATGTATTTTCTGGCCAGTTAACTTGGTTCATGGTTTCGTTTCCAGTCAATGTGATGGACAAGATTTCTCTTTTCTTCTTTACACATGCTCTTTCTATTTGATTAAGATCTCCTAAGACCATATTCGGCCTAGATTTATCACAATCAACACTATTACTGAAAAATGGCAAACTTTCCTTTTAAGAATGTATTTATTTTTTTAATTGAGGTAAAATTCACATAACATAAAAGTTCACCATTCGAGTCATTTTGAAGTACACAATTCAGTGACTTTTAGTCCATTCACAATGTTGCATGACCACTGCCACTATGTAGTTTCAGAACACGTCCATCACCCCAAAAGGAAACCCCATACCCATTAAGCAGTCACTACCTATTCTCCCCTCTACCCACCACCGAAAACAACTAATATGCTTTCTGTCTCTATGGATTTGCCTTAGGAGTATATTTCTTTTGGAATCTTCTAAATTCTGCATTGAATTTTTCTACTAGAAACTGTAGACTACTGCAGAAGACACCCAACAGAAGCTCTGTCCTGGATATGAGCTCTTCCTGTAATAGTTGGTGATAACACTATTACTTTTTTCTTCGGAGCAGTGGAATAGTGACCATTCTTTATTCTGCCTTTGTCCTGGTGAGCACATCAGATACTGCAGAGGAAACTGAGGATGCCTGGCGGGTAAGTGAAAAAGCAACCTAAAAATAAAGTAATAAAACCCTTTTTATTTCCCAACCATAAACACTTTTTATCAATTTTAAATTACAATGTACATTTTATTTTGGCTGAAATTGTTAAAAAGTTGGTTAACCTAGTCAAACTTTTAAAAATGTTGAAAGTGAATTGGAAAATGGTCTTTGGGGCATCTATTTTTTTGTAAACTGACTTAAAATTTGCATGGCTTTCTTAGTTATGATTATACTGAAAGGAGAGTTGTATATTCTGTGTTCTGGAAAAAATACATATGACTTTTGGAAGAAATCTTAATTTTTCAACTGGTCAAATGTTTTCTTGGAAGGAGGAAGAACCAGTAGGATCTTGTGACTTAAGTGGTGCTTTGTAATCTAGAATGTCAAGGCCAGAAAATTCTGTTATTTTGCATTTTGTACATATTCTAAGGATTTTATTCTATTTTCATTTTCAATTCTTTTCCATTTCATGAGCCCCAACTAATATATCTGGACTATTCCCATTAATTAGAATTTAGGATTCCCCTGCCAAGGCTCAAACACTCACTGGTTTTGATGTTATGGATCTTGCTTTCCTACTTGCCTCATTTTAGTCTCCCATCTGTTCTTTATAACATTCTCTCAGTTTTGGCTTCTGGGGACTCCTTGGTGACAATGGAGAACAGAGACTCCATATCACATTTCGAGGTATACATTGACTTAGCCACTATTTCCACAAACACGTCTCAGACAGCGTCGATGGGAAGTAAATTGTTTTTAACCAACTGAACCTTTTTTAAGCCACCTGGAAGTTGGGGACAGCACAACACAATCCTATGGCATAATTAATGAAAAGCACTTGGTGATCCTTGTAGCTGAGACACGCTGTAGCAAATGTGCAAACTGTCATTATCCTTTGTGCCTTGCTTGAGAACCTATCAACAAAATTCTTCTCTAATAAGCGATCTCCACAATGTGGAGGGGCTTAATTTACCAGTTTCCTCCTTCCCAGGTCCCTCATCTTAGTGTACTTTGGTTTACTTCTCAAGGATACATGAGCCTGTTCTCCAACTTTAACAGACAAACACTCCCTGAAAGAAAAGAAAGAACTTGAAAGTGTTGTGTGAAAGAAAGGAAAAAAGAGGGCTTGAAAAAGAAAACACAGTTAAGAGCAGTAGTTAAACTGTAAATCCCCTATCTCTACCCTCCAGACCACTGCACCCACCCGTAGAGCTTTGGGGCTCCTGATTGCGAGTCCAGATACGGGGCATATATTCACGCGTGGCTCCCTTCACGACTGCGTGTCAGTCCGGCCTGTGCTCAAGTTGTGGAATCCGGTTGGAGTGTCAATGTGTAGGATCCACTCTCGGGGTTTTGGCGAGATTGAGAAGGGTAAGGTAACCGGCTGGCAAAAGGGGCTGGTATGCCCCAGGGGTTTCGGCACAGCGGGAGAAAAGTGGCGAAGTCACCCAAGGCTTAAAGTCTGATGTTCTTTAGAGCCATTCACCTCCCCCTCCAAGAGGCCACTGAATGGCGTTATCTGTACAGGGACAGACCCAGGGACACAACTGGGATAACCGGTATTCCTGGTAACTGCCTGTCACACGCTGGGCATCTGGAGGGTAGGTGGGGGAGGGACGCGCGTGGGGCGGGGTGAGGGTACGGAGGGAGAAGGAATGACGGTGACGGGTTTGCTCGAGTTGTTGCGTCCTCCTCGTAGCTCCAGGACGGATGCGGAGACCCCAGTTTTGGGCTGGGGGTAGGTCTCTAACTCGCTGCGGAACTTCACCTTGCCAAGCCTGCGTTTAGTCCTCCGCACAGGGCTGGACTCTGATCTTTGCGCCCCCTTCCTGCCCTTTGATTCTGGTTCTTTGAGGGAAGCCCTGCTATGCAGTCCTGGGAAGGAAAAACATTCTCTGACGCAGGAGGGCCGAAATGGGAAAGCCAGGAAAGCAGCCTCTGTGACATGGATTATATTTATTTAGATGCCTATATTAAAAATTATTTTCGTAAAAAAAAAACCAAAAACCCAGCCTCCAAGCGCGGGCTAGAGCTTTTCGCACAGTGCCCGTTCGGCGGCCGCCCCTTCCCTCAACGGCCAGGTAGCCGGTGCGCAGTGCTCTCCTCCAGCACCTGCCGCTGCACTTCGCGCGAAACCTCTCCACGCCGCCCCCGCCGGCGCCGAGCACCTTCCTCCCCGGCCCCGTCCCCGGCCGGCCCAAGCCCCGCTTGCTGCTTCCCAGGGGGCAGGAAACCCGGCGAGGGGGATCAGTCGAGGCGAACGTCCCCGCAGGCCGCGCAGGTTGTTTGTGGCCAGCTGCGCGCTTGCGCCCCGGGCGGCGACTCCTCCAGGGAAGGGCGTGGAGGGCGGCCCGGCGCGAAGGGCTGGCAGCGGCCCCGGCTCGCGCCGCGGGGACGCCCGGGCGGCCCTGAAGGGGAGGGAGCTCCGCCCCCGGCTCGGTATAAGTGCTGGCCGGGCCCACCGCGGCGGCGGCGGCGGCGGCAGCGGCGGCGGCGAGAGCTGGGGCGTCCGGTACGGCTCGGACGGCCTGTTGAGCCTCCCAACCCGCTTCCATAAGGCTTTCCTTTCCAACTTCAGCTACAGTGTTAGCTAAGTTTGGAAAGAAGACAAAAGGAAGACCCCCGGGCCGTTTTTCTTTTGTTCTTTGCCATAGTCCTGGTAGTATTTTTGCACAAGGCTGTTGTGTTTTTAGCGGTGCTATATCCAGTTCTTTGCACACCTGTTAACAAGCACCTCGGAAAGAGCAGCAGCAGCAACAGTAGCAGCAGAAGAGCAATCGGGGTCGCCTGGTGTCATGACCAGGGCAAGAGATCAAAACCGCCAGGGAGGATGCTGTGGTGAGTTGCGTTGACCGAATGCATGTGGTGGAAACAGAGGTTGGGCTTTGGAGACAAGCAACTCTGCGCAGCTTTTGGAGGAATGTAGCTCCACTGTTAACCTTAGTGCCTTAGAAAAGATCCTTTCACTCAAATTTGGTGGAGGTTAAGGAAGAAAGGAAATTCAAGATGTGGGAAAAGGGGCTTGCACACAGGCACTGATGGAGTAGGCTGGGCAGTTTAGATTACCTTGTGTACAAAAAAAAAAAAGAAAGAAAGAAAAGAAAAGAAAAAGAAAAATGTTGAAACAAGCGTTTCTTCACTTTGTGGGAAGTTAGGCAGTTATTGACCAATAGGTCATGCTGAATTTAAGTGAAAGGTATTAAGTAGACCAAATGCATCGGTTCATTAGGTGACTTGATAAACGTACATGGTTTGTCACCCAAAGTAGTTTTTAATAATCATACTTTAATGAAAACAAATGGATAAGCATTCTAATCTCAGCTCATTCAAGTGACTACATTCACTTTTTATCCCCCCCCCTTGATCCCCACTTCCCCCCACCCCGTGTCTTTGCAGGATCCTTAGCAAAATACCTGACTTCTGCAAAATTCCTTCTTTACCTTGGTCATTCTCTCTCTACCTGGGTAAGTGAGAATGTGTATTCTTACAACATAGTTACACAATATTTTGTTTCCTTTCATTCGTGCCAATGGTATTAGGCCAACTTGTCATGCACTTAAAAGAAATAAATCATATAAATACACATGCTTTAACAAGAAAGTTATTTCTCACAAAAGATATTTTCCTATGAGTGTTAGTTAATGCTATTTAATTATCAGGTTATGGTATGTTATATAGATTGACAACTATCCAAAGACACGATTAGCAAGCAAGGAATATTTGCTTTGTTTATAAATTGTATAATGTATTACTAGGCTTAGTAAATGGTCATATCTGCTGCTAAGAATAGATGGATGTCTCATATGTCTTCTATTCTTTTGCATTTTAGGATATTTCTCTGTTTTCTTCTTTTGTTAAAATTTGGTTCCAGCATGCAGCACTATGAAAATACAGTAGAATGGTGGAGTGACTGACTTAGGCTAATAATAGCATTCTAAGGTTAATTTAAATATAAATGACCCCAAAAACAAATATCTGAGTGACAAAAATTCTGGTCTTTAAAGGTGTTGTCTGTAGTTTGATGATTGTGGGGCATCACAGGCTGTCTTAAAATTCATCATCCAGTGAAAATCAACAACTAATTCACAATTTTCCCTCTGACTTTCTATGTGGTCTCAGAATCTCAGAAGGGTCCTTGTGTTTCTGTGGGTCTGGGTTCCTTCATTAACTCCCCCATAAAAGAATAATCCGAGAAGGGTGCTGGATGTGTGTTTAATTAAAGATAATTAGAATCTTTAAAATTAAACAAGTGTTTTTATTGTTTAATTCCAATAAATCTGTCTACATTCTGTTCATGTCACATAAGTGATATTTAATTAAGAAGAACCATAAACTAAAAGAAAGAATTTTGAGAGTAAAATGTTTGAATGTTATTTTCTTTTTAAGTTGGAAGCTTCTTTTGGATCGTTGTCAAAACATGAATGGAAAACACTGTATGAGGAAATCTATACTTTATGCCCTTAGGAAATTAAGCTATGTTATTGAATCTCTAAGAAATAGCAATTCATAGATGACTTTTTAGAAAAGTGAGCTCCTGTCCTCCCAGATGCTTACACAAGGATGACTCTGCAAATGCATGTGTAAATAAAGTAGAATTGGTATGAGTGTGTTTTAATTCCAATAGCCAATGATTCTAACTAGAAACTTAGTGAAACAGCCTTTAATAAATCTAAACCAATAGTTTGTTCTTCCAATTTAATTCAATATATATTAAGTATTAATAACAGGTGATGGAAATAGTATCTGAAATTCTCAGCTTGGAGAATGGTCTGGATCTAGCTCTTTGAGGAAAAAGGTACCTCACTTCCAAATACTGATTAAACTTTATGTGTCCTTTGGTTAATAGGTTGGCCGGTCATATTTTCCAAAAAAAAGTAGAACTGTGGTTGTTCCAGGAATGGAACTGTGGTTGTTCCAGGAGGACTTTTTGTCATGTTAATTAAAACTCCCATAAGAAAGGTGACAGCTGCACATCCCAACTTTATAGTAAATTGAGCAAAGAAGGTTCTTGTGAGGAAGTTGTATTAAAAAGACTACACTACAACCATTTAAGGTTTAGTAGATTTTTTACTTCTCACTGCAAAGGAGTACAAAAGAGGGTTGGTAACACTAGGTAATTCTACTTCTTGTGTTTTATCTCTTATGTGGCACTCTGATTTTATTACAACAAAACGTGTATGTTTTTGTATATATGTCTATACCTATGTATATATGTATGCATATCTATCTATCCATTTCCCTGCCAGCCCTGCCAAATCATAATTTCCTCCACATTGAACATAGAGGGGCATTAGGGTAGGTTATCTCAAGTTAGCCTTGTGTGGTGTTGAATGCTTTTTATTTGAGACTTCGTTTCTATCTGCCAGTGGATCAATACATTTTACTCTACTATCAGAATACAAAGTAGTATAAGAAGTGGATCCTGTTGTCAAGGAGATTGTAATTTACTACGGGTTTTAAAAAATGTATCTAATCACAAAAAGATAACTAATAGTGTAAGGCAGTGAAAAAGAAGGACCGGTTGCTTATATTTTATATCTTTATCCTATGGACTATCTCCATTTATACCTCATTGCATCTGTGTTTCTCTATCCCTCACTTCCTGCAGGCCTCACTCTGCTTGTAGGAGGTCTTTGTTACCACTTCACATAAAAGGCCACCTTCCAGCCCCATCCTACTTTATTTTTCCTCATAGTACACTTACCACCACCTGGCCTGTGCTAGATTTATGTTGTCTCTGCTCACTGGAATGCGAGCTACATGAAAGCATGGACTGTGATTTTTGTGCACTGCTGAAGCTCTAGTGCCTGTAATAGTGTTGTGTACATAGTAGCGGCTCAAACTCAATAAGTATTTATTAAGTGGATTAATGACTATGATCATTTATTCACAGATGTTCAGTTGGCCTTCAGCTTCTAGTCCAGTGAGGGTAGACAGACACGTAAACAAGTCATCATGGTGAGAGTAGGTGGGAGGGCAGGAAATGGAAGTAAGGAAGGAATGGGTGGGCACTTGGTCCATGTTTACGTAGACTTTACCCAACTTATGGGCTTTTTGTGGGCATAGAATCTGTTGCTTTTTAAAGCCTATACTCATTGAAAATTGGAGTAACTACAGCAATTTTATTCCTCTCCATCAAGGAGGTGGCATGCCATACAGGCATAAGCAAAAGAAAAAACTTTCATTTAATAGCACTTGTTTTGATGCTGTGCTTTAGAAGGCTGTAAAACAATTTTTTGGGGAAAAAGGTAGGAATAAGAAAAAAATATAGAAGCAGCGGTATTAGAATAGTACTTCTTAACCTGTATGTTAAGAAAGAGAAGATTCACTCACAGAGGGAACCTATCATTGGGCATTTATGTGTTTTTGTCTTCCCTATTCAGAGGAATAGAGATTAGGATAAAGTACCTTCCCTCTCCCCATCCCATTTTATTCTAAGCAAATCTAAATTTGCTTTTCCTGTTAAAGACTGAGAAACAGCTCAGTCTGCAGCCCCCCTGCAGTTGTGACAACCCAAAGAACTCCAAGACATTGCCAAATGATTGAGGGAGGGGGTGTGGGGGGATAAAACCATCCCCAGTTGAGAACTACTGTTCTACACAAAGTTTATCGTAAATGATTTCTAGCATGCATCAATTTAAGTTTTGAATGCATAAAATTGTTGTCTTGGCTCTATTAAATTTTTTAAATTAGGCCGGGCGCGGTGGCTCACGCCTGTAATCCTAGCTCTCTGGGAGGC